GAAGGAGAGGGGGCCAACGACAGTGAAGGCATGAATATATAAAGAGCGCGGGCTAAAAGATGCCTGCCGGTTTAGGCTTTCTATCTGCCAGCCACCTGTAGCCCATCTAGCAAACACCTTGCGTCAGCCACACCTCGGCGAAAAATAAATCTGTTCAGCAGGAGTCCCACAGGAGACGATCACTTGAAGTGGGGGACGAGGCTGTCCCCCCAACACCCCCCCAGAGTTTCCGGAGCCCCCATTGGTTCAAAGGTAATCTACCTTGACCCATTGACATCAGGTGCCTTCATATAAAAAGTGATCCCTTAATGCAAACAAATTCTCTCCAATCGGCCATTCAGCTGAACCTCAACCTGGTGTCGTCATGGAATGGAGGTGGGACCAGGGGGTATTCAGCCGGTGTTCTGATTGTCCTCCTGCTGGGGACTTTTGAGGCATTATTATTGGAATCAATTACACCAACCCCCCGAAAGGGCACATCCCCAAGGTTTCCAGGCGGCAATGTCAAGGCCCTCCGAGAGACATCGGATGTATGTCATGGCGACGACCCTGCTCAATTCGTATATCGTCAATGCTCGCTATTCATCGACTGCTTCCTCCAGAACACTAACGAACTGATGAAAGCCGACATGGGCATTGGGACTACACTCGTTGGTCTCCTCCCAACCATCTTTCTGCTAATAGCAAAGCCCCCTATGGATCTCGTTCAACAAGGATTGATTGCACCACATCGGGCCCTTGCAATGGCCTGCTTCTCCATCGGTCTACCCCAGGAGATGTTTAGCAAACTTAGGCCTGTCTTGCCCGGTTTCTGGAATTTCGAGGGCGACAAAGCGGAAAGAACTCGGGTGTTGGAGATAGCGGTGCCAGTTCTTAATACGCACCCTTTTGGCCCTTTCGCTTTTAGGGTAACTACCGACATTGTCGTGTTGGGATGTGCTGGTATTATGTTGTGGAGAACTTGGGTGGTCAGTTCATGGGTTTTGGTCCCTTGGAGATGTGAATCATCCATCCTCCAGTTTGCTTGGTAAATTCTGGCCCCAGTCTTTCATTTTTTTTGTTGATAAGGTGTTTTTGGCACAGGCCGATGGGATGTCTTTCCTGGCTGGCCCTCGTGTTGCCACTGCTCCATGTCATGTCCGACAGTATTGACTTCAGCAACTGTCTGTACCCCCAGAAGAAGTATACATGGCTGCAGGTATTACTCTTGCCATACACTCAGAGGTTTCAGCGGCCGATAGAAGAGGAAACGAGAGAGCTTTCGACAGCAGAGGAGGACCGAATGCGGTGCATCCGGGTGGAAATCCGTATGCCCTACACGTCAGGTCTCCGCAGTTGGTTGGTGTACGACTCTATCATTGGGATCCTCGGCTCTGCCCTTTATTTCTATGGCACATTCGTGTGGCTCAGCTGCGTATTCCTAACTGCAGTACCAGCTATTAGCTATGTTGCCGTTACTGTTTCGTGTTATGTAACCATCATGGTTGTCAATAGTCTGTTCTAGGCGGGTAGACAAAGGAACGAAATGAGCAACATGCCCCCATGGTGAGAAGTGGCATCCAAAAGCCCACTGAGTTGTTTGGAAGCCTAGGAAAATTATGAGCAGATGGAGTGATGTAGCTGGGTCGAGCTGGGCCGTTGCCCCTTATTTTGCGGCCTTTTTTTTTTTTTTTTTTTTTTTTTTTTTTTTTTTTTTTTTTTTTTTTTTTTTTTTTCCCCTTTTGGCACCCAAAAGACACCACAGGGCTTGAGAGGGCTACAAAGGGTTACTGTACTCAATAGGGTTTTTTTTAAACACATGGGTTGTTTAGTATTTGGTAGTGCCAGCCGCTCGAGCTAGTCTACCTAGGTAGGGAAATGCGATTGGTGAATCAATGGATCACCGTGGCGAAAAGGGGGTAGAAAATGATGTCATAGGTGAGACCTGGGAACTTGTCCAGTTTCCGGGCCGACTAGCAGGGGAAGATAAATAATCAAGGGACCTTACGAAGTAATCTGATCAGGTACCTAATGTAAGGGTTAGGCTGCTTTATAGGGAGTGGAACGTAGCGCATCTAATTATCAGTGGATACAGGATCAATCACATGAGATGAACTTGTCCCCTGGATTGCCGAGATTGCCACAGCACCGAAACTTGAGGTTACCTATTTTCCGGTGCACGGCGGGGATTGCTGCGGCTGCTTGAGGACGCGCTGGGTACCCAGATACAGTACCTACCTTATACCTTATTGTGTAGATTTCTAAGTAATAGTCAGTGGCTGAAGGCCTACGTCAGGGCCCGCGTCAGCTTCGAAGCTAGTTTACTTTGCCATCTGCGTTAGTGGCTGTGTTTGATGTGCGATGCGTCGTGTGGCGGATGCTCTGCGTGAAGCTTGCGCAACAATCCGACCCCGCCCCCGCTGCGCCCCTCTATTCCGGCAACATATTAGTGCGGGGCACTCGCACCTTTCACCAACACTTACCACAAAGCCGAAGTAAAACAACCAAGCACTTGAGGACTACGTCGAGAAAGATGAGCTCCAACGAGAAACAGCCGCCGGTCCAACCGGCTGGACAACAGAGCGAGCAACAGTACTTTCCTCCTCCACCACCCGGCCCGCCGCCGGCACAGACCGCGCAAGCGCACCCGCAAGGGACCCAACCCCCGAAGCATCCAAACGAGACGCCCCTTCCTGACTACAACATTCCCGCATACCAACCCGCGAACCCGCAGTTTGCACCCCCGCCGCTAGATGCCGACGACGACCTCTACAACGCGTCTCCGATTAATGAACACCCGCCGAAGTGGGGCCATCACCGAGCTCAGGGCAGCGATGGAGAGACAAAGAAGAAGTCGCACCGGTTATCCGCATTTGGGGAAGCCTTCACGAGTAAGGTTGCTGGTCCTGTAAATGCTCTGGCGAATAAGTTCGGGTCTGAGGGGTTCCTACCCGAGGCATTGGATAAGGAATGCGAGAAGGGTGCCAGGATTCTGAGGGGTTTCTGCAGTAAGTTTACATCTGCCACACTGTCATTTCTTTTGAACACAGACTGACCTTTCTTTCCCAGAGGACGGTGTCTACAGCGATGCAGTCCCTCCTACCGCGCCCGCCCCTGCCACGACGACCACCTCGACAACCGCCGACAAACCGCCGCCATCACCTGGCAAAGCCAAAAAGTCCCGCGTCCTGCTTACCATCCCCTCCAAGGTCATCGCTCGCGCTCAGGGGCTAGCCATCTTCACCGCCGTCCGCGTCGGCTTCCAAGCGGCTGGGTCCAGCGGCAGCGGCATCCTCGTCGCGCGCCTCCCCGACGGCAGCTGGTCGCCGCCCTCTGGCATCCAAATCACCTCGATCGGTGCGGGCTTCGTCGCCGGCGTTGACATCTACGACTGCGTCATCGTGATCAACACGCGCGAGGCCCTCGACATGTTCACCAAGATGCGCCTGAGCCTGGGGTCTGACCTGGCCGTCACCGCAGGCCCCTTCGGCGCGGGCGGCGCACTGGACTGGGGCGTGCCCGCAGGCAGCGACAAGAAACAACCGGCCAAAGACGCCGACGCAAAGCCCAACCCCAACCCCAACACCGCGCCCCCGCTATCCTCAGACAACACGCACTTCCAGACGGGCCCCGTCCCTGAGAACAAACAGGGTATGACCGAGGAAGAAGAGGATGACGGCAAGGGCAAGCGCAAGGCCAGCCCCTTCCGCGAGGCGCTGCGCAAGCCGGTCTACAGCTACGTCAAGTCGCGCGGTTTCTACGCCGGAATACAGATCGACGGCACCGTTATCGCTGCGCGGGAAAGCGCCAACGCCAAGTTCTACGGCCGCGCGGTGTCCGTAGACAAGATCCTCAAGGGTGAAGTCCCTGCCGCGCAGACCGCCCAGGCCGCTGGGCTGTGGCCGGGTGGCGCGAAGGGGTTGTTTGAGGTGTTGCGCGGGGCAGAGGCGGGGAAACCTGTGCAGGGCCAGCCAGCCGGAGCTCAGGGGCAGCCGGGTCTGTGGCAGAGCCACCCTCAAGGTGGCAGGCCGGGGAGTGCCGGGTATGGCGGCCCCAGTCCCGCATTTGGCGCTCCGGCCGGGACTGGCGGTGCACCGCCTGGGACGTGGGTTCCGCCTCCCAGTGCGGGTGCGGGTGCGCAGGGCGGTGTGGCGGATGTCACGGCGGGGGTGCGCGATCTGGGTGTCGGGGCTTCGTCTGCGTCTGGGCCGCCTCCCGGCACGGCGCCAGCTACTTCCGGTGCGGCGGCCAAGGCGGCTGAAGCTGCTGCTGAGGCGGCGCGCGCTCCGCAGGACTCGGCCGAGCTGCCTCCGCCGTCGTACTCAGAGCCCCACGGCGCGGCTGACGATCTGCCGCCTGCGTATGTTGAGGATGAGAGGTATCGGCACGCGGGCGGGGATAGCAAGACGGGGCTGCATTGAGGGGGGACTATGTCTATGCAGGGCGTGTTAGCGGTTGCGTAGTGGAACGGGGTGTTGCTGCGATGGTTCTGATCAGGGGGCACGATTCATGATCTAATGCGGAACTGATGATTTTTTTGACACCGTATTGCAAAGTAGAATACCCTCTAGCGCGGTATTGCAGATATTCCAAACTTATTCATGTCTTTTCTCAACATGTTGGTCTAGCCAGGGTGCCAGGAGCAGCCGCTTTCGCCTCTCGGCATGCCCACTGGTCCGAACTCCGAAGTGCCGGATTGGGCCAAGCTCGAAAAGCTTGAACGTCACCTCACTCACCCCTTAAACAGTAAACACCCGTAAACATTGCCGCACTGCACTGGGGAACTCATCTAGCAACGTCAGTCAACTTCACAATGTACGACCCACCCACACTCGTCTTCATCCCCGGCGCCTGGCACCAGCCGACCTGCTACGACAAGATCATCAAGCTGCTCGAGGAGCAGCACCACCTCAAATGCGTGGCCATCACCCTCCCCTCCACCACCGGCGACCCCAACATCACCTTCAAAGACGACTACGACGCCGCCCGCAACGCCATCACCCATGAGACCACCGCCGGCCGCGACAGTCGTCGTCCTCGCCCACTCCTACGGCGGCCTCGTCGGCAACAGCGCCATCAAAGGCCTCACCCTCCCCCAACCCAACACCCCCCTCAGCACCACCACCCCCTCCACCAAATCAAACCTCACCCCCGACCAAGGCCACGTAACCGGCCTCATCCTCCTCCCCTCCGGCTTCTCCCTCACCGGCCTCACCTTCATGGCCGCCTTCCTGAACGTCCCCCCTGGCGTTGATGACCGTAATTGCCGTGCCGGGTTCCCCCGACCGAGTTGCTCTGAATGGAACAGAATTTTGTGGGGGTTATGTTATGCCACTGAAAAGTCACGTCATCGAAGCACATCCCGCTTTCCTGATCAACCGCTCGACTAAGTCAATCATATCGGGGCTTAATTCACTAGGCGAATCGAGTGAGCAACAGCCCAGGAACCGTACCGCCAAGGTTCTACTGTGACCGGGAAAA